CTGCTGTGGGGAAGTGGACCTGTGGTTGGGGGTTTCTGGAGCCAGCTTAGTCCCTGTAGCCTGTGTGGGGCAGGAGGGGAAGCAAGAACAAACCGGAGGCTGCTCTGCGTGGGCACAGTCGGGGTGTCAGGGCTGGGCAGACCTTGGGGCTGGGGCAGGGGCACAGTCCTGAGTCTCCCATCATGTGGTGATGTCTGTGCTGCCTCCTTTCCTGCAGGGGCCCGCAGACTGGATGCTGGGGGCAGGTGCCGTGTGCAAGTGCAGGTGAGTGAGAGCATCCCTTGAGCTTTCCCAGGGAGTGATGTTCCTGCAGGCTCTGTCATGGTGCTGTAATAGGCACCCTGCACTGGGATAGAGTTATTGGGGCTCATCTCCAGCTTCGTACCTGTGGAGGTCTGTTAGCCAGACCTGTGGGACTTTGATTCTTCTGCCTCCCTGCTCTTCCACACACAGAAGCCTCTGGCTGCCTCAGTCCCAGGCCAGTACAGGAGACTAGCAGGGCTTTCCCCATACCAGCAGCACCAGGGCTAACCTGTGCATCCTCTTCCCCACCCCACAGGTGCTGGGACCCTGAGCAGAGCTCAGCAGCAGGCTCCTGAGGAGGGGCCTGTTAACCTGCAGCTGCAGAGGACTTCCCCAGGGAGACTGGAGGAGAGGAGCTCCATGACACCTGAGCCAGGCCAAATGCAGAGGCAGCAGAGCAAACCTCCAAAGCAGGGGGAGAGCTTGGAGGTGAGCAGGGCAATAGGTCCGTTTGGGTGTGGGAGTACGGCTGGGGCAGAGCCCAGGAGGAGCCAAGGGTGGTGTAAAGAATTTGGGGTGCAGAGAGGCCCAAAGAGCATCAAGCCTGTGGTGATGGAGGCTGCAAACACACCAAGTTGGCGTTAGCAGGAGCTCCCTCCTAAGTGCAGATAGACAGGGGTGCTAGCACAGGCAGGCCTTGTCAGAGTGCGTGGAGCTGGGGCTCCCTGCCCCTGAAAGTGATACCAAGGCTGTCTCAAAGGACTGAGCAAATACAACATGTTGAGCTGGGTTAAAGTTGACACATGAACTCCTATATCCACAGCTGCATCTACATCATGTTAGCTGAAGATTGGGGAATATTGCACCCTTACCTGTTATAACAAAGCCTGCAATTAGTTGCAATACAGAGCGATTCCAGATAGGGCTGTGGGGGCTGGAAGCAGCTGGAACAGGAGACACTGATTGGTGCAATGCTTGTGACTGCAGCTCCGAGAGGTGTTTGAGGACGTGGCTGTGTATTTCACACGGAAGGAGTGGGAGCTGCTGAAAGATGAAGACAAGGTGCTTTACCAGGACCAGATGCTGAGGAATTTCCAAGCCCTTGTTTCCCTGGGTAAAGCTCTGGTTCTTGCTTCTACCTGGACCTGTGTGAACTGTGAAGTTTAGTGTCTTCCTGTTTTTCAGCAGTCTCAATCTCATGCACCTTTGGCTGATGGTTTAAATCTACTTCCTCCCCAATGCTCTGTCCGTGATCAGACCTCTCTCATATCATATTGATAGATCCTCCTTCATTTGATTCAGCCACCTTCACTTTTGTTTTCCCCATTATTGTAGCTGCTGGTGCTTCCATTTGCAGCAGTTTCTTTGACAACATGATCTCTTTGCCTTCTCAGCACGTTCATATTATCTTCAATTCATTGTGCATAAATTAACTAACAGCTCTTGGGGAATATTTCTAATTTTCCCCTTCACTAGTGCGTCCTGTCCAAACACATGTAACAGTCCTAGCGTACTCAGTTCAGTGCTATCTAAGTGCTTTTTCTCCTCCTTTCGTTATGACCTAGCACAAGTTAATGGAAGTCTTATTAGCCTCAGCTGCTACAACATGTGGATGATGCATTTCCTCAGCTCTTCCTCTAGTGACAGATGTACACGATGGACCCCAGGTACTTCTACCAAAGGGCCACTGGAAGCTTCTGTCCACGTTCCTACCTAACATCTTCACCTCTATAGACCAGAGACTGTGGCTTTGCTGTATTTACATTAAGACCTGTGCTCTCAAGGTCGCTCTGCCATTCTCCAAAATTTTGTTCTCCTTAAAGCTCTCTGTAGATCAGACACCCATCACTGTGATAAGTGGGCTAGGTGCAGAGCCTAGTGAGAACCATTTTTCTTTCCAGAGGATCTCTAATATAGGGCCTTGTTCTTTCTTGTGCACAGGGTTGAGGTACTTACCTTTTACTAGGTTAGTTTGCTTTTCTGATGCTCTTTCCCCGCTGCTTCCCCCAAAAGATTACCACACAACCCATTTATACATTATAGGCTTTCATATGCTACGAAGTGTGTGGGGGTTTTTTGCCTTCTTTTTGTCATTTCCATGACTCCACGAACCTTGGTTTTAGACCTGTCAGTATTTGCCAACCTGTGGACCTATCTCCATTCCTGGGATGTTCATCCCATTGGGCGGGATGCTAGATTCAGTTGCAACTACAGTTGTTATAAAATCATTTTGTCCTGTGCCCTGGTAATGCTGACTTATCCTCTGTCCCAGAAAAATTTCATTGTCAGCCACCTGTCATGGATGCTTTTCATTGCCACGGGTCCTCACTTTAAACCTTCACTGAGAATAAGCTCATTTCCATTCCTTTAACTGGAGTGCCACTAATGAGATAAATGTTATCCATCTGTAAATGTGTCCAATGTTTCTTTATTTTGTTACCTCAAAAACAGTAAAAGCTTTTTGTCTGCTCCCTTGTACATCATTGATCACTGTATCTCCATGCCTATCCTCGCCTTTCCTTGGTGACTGTCAGTTTGGTACCCTTTCTGTACCCTTCCTGTATCCAAACAGGATATCAAGGTCCCACACCTGACTTAATCTGCTGCGTCCAGCAAGGACAAGTGGAGCTCTGGGTCTGTGATGAGGATGATGGGGAAATCTCACGGTCAGAGGACCTGCTGCCAGGTGAGTTGTGGCTGTCCTCTCCACCCAACTCCCCTCTCAGAAATGCTCCTTGCCCAGAGTGCCAGGGCAACCTGGAAACTGCTGACATGCCCTGTGCTGCCATTGCAGGGTGCTGACCTGAAATACAGTACGTTATACTGTAATGTGTCCGGGCAGGTGTTATTCCCTTTCTCTGAAATCCGACGATATGGAAACAAGCAACTTTTCCCTTCTTCTCCCCCTAATTACAGCTGTTCGGGGACAATCAAGTTTGCCATCTTGATTGTTCAGCCCAGATCTGGATTCCCTGGGATACCATGATCTTAAATTTCCATCTTCACTCATTAATATAAGAGTTTATTCCCCAGCCCAAGGTAGCCATACCTCTCTAACAACCTCTCCCAGGACTCAATAGGATTTGTAGTCCCCCATGAAAATCAAGATGAATACCGAAGCTCTGTTTAACCATTAGCTCTGATGATACCGAAGCTCTGTTTAACCATTCCTGTTGGACAGGAGAAAAGCTGGGGCTCTCCTTGGCTTTTCCCGGTCAGGTTGACCTGGAACCCAGGAAGTGTTTCATCATGGTCTCAGGGTGCATTAAATGGCTCCATGGCATGGGTGGGATTCAGAAGCTTTCATGTTGTGAGAGGAAGCAAAAGCCCCATGTTTTACACCTAGGGCCCTAAGTGTCACAAAGCCAAAGACTCAGCACACAGTTCAGGTTCAAGGTCACGCCAAGGCTTTAAGCCTAGTTCAGACCCCTGTGACATACAGGCCAGCTGGGACTGGTCAGCAGAAGAAAGCTCCGTGGGCTCATTCCCTGTACCAGACCGTGACTTGGAAGCAGACAGGATGCACAGCTCTGCTCCTTTCAGAAGAAAGCGACAGCCCTCGCCCTACACACAGGTCCAGGGGACACATGCCCCCCATGCCTCCCCCGGGATGTGCACAGCCTCAGGAGCCATTCCCCCGGGATGAGCCATGTTCTGTCCTGCACCCCGTTCCACTCTACCCGAGCTGGGCAGTGCCTCCCTAGCCCCAACCCCACTCCCTCCCTCACCATGGGGGCTTTGATCTGCCACGCCGACTGCCCCATCCCCCTGGCAGACTTACCAGCTGGATGCGGCTTTCAAAGCTGCCAGGCTGCATGTTGGCAGTCGGATTGGTATCAGCCAATATGGTTTGTTAATAATCAGCTATTGGTATCAGCACAAAACATCTTTATCGGTGCATGTCTACCCACATGTACTTGTCTCAGCAGGGCCCAAGGTGATGGGGCTGACAGCTGGGGCAGAAACCTTGAGAGTCTGACTCTGAGCTCACTTGAGTAGGGAACATTAGCTCAACACAAGGGACCTGCCTTTCCCTCATCCCCAGCATTTTGGGTTTTGGAAAGAAGACCTTGATTGCTTGAGGGAACACAAGGACCAAGGTCCAGGCCTACTCGGGCCCATTCCAGCAGAAGGAATACCAGTCTGCCCCTTGCCAGCCGGGCAGGGACTAATCTGGAGTTTTTCCTCCCCATGTAGGAGGTGCCTGGCTCCTGAACGGAGCTGAGCAGGAGACTCCTCTGGAAGGGTCTGCAAACCTGGAGCCACCATGGACTTCCCTGGGTAGTTTCGGTGAGATGGACTCCTTGAGACCTGAGAAGGAGCAATGTCAGGGGAGACCCCAAAAGCAGATGAAGAATGTAGCAGTGAACCAGGTACTATCTCCAGTTAGGTGTGAGTGTGGAGAAGGGGCAGAACCCAGAAACAGCCCTGGGTGCAGGGAAGAATACGTGTAGATGAGAGACCTAAAGACCCATTGGAACTAAGCACTGCATCCAAGCCAAAGCAGTGAGGAGGGTGTCGGAGGGAAGCAGGAGCTCACTGCCAAGCACAGGAGCAGAACCGAGCCCTGCTCCAAGGTCTGGAAAACCTTTAACTGCCCTTCCTTCCTGGCTCTTCACAAGATAGCGCATACTTGATGTATGCATCAAGAGCTTCACCTGCCTCTCGACCCTGGTTGCTTATCGCCAAATCCATTCTGAAGAACTCCCCCACTGTTTCACCAAATAGGGAAGAACTTCGTGTGCCCCTGAGGCCTGGACAGGCACCTACAGGGGTGGGGAAATGTCTACCATTGTAATAAGTGGTAAGGCCTTCACCCATTTTTTCTCCCTGTCTCAGCACCGGCACATCCACCTGGGAAGGAAGACGCACTGCTGCACTGCATGCAGGAAGAACTTCATCTGCTGGCAAGACCTGTCCCAGCACCAGTGTGTACACAGCGGGGAGCAGCCACACGATGGCACTAAGTGTGGAAAGAGCTTCAGGCAGCCCTCCAATCTGGCCAGGGCGCCCTCCAATCGGGCCAGGCACTGGTGCATGCACACAAGGGAGAAGCCACATAAGTGCTCAGAGTGCAGGAAGAGCTTCACTCGCTCCTCCAGCCTGGCTCAACACCAACGTATCCACACAGGGGAGAAGCCACATCAGTGCTCGGAGTGTGGGAAGACCTTCAACCATTCCAGAAACCTGAGAAGACACTGGCTCATCCACACAGCAGAGAAGCCACATCAGTGTTCAGAGTGTGGGAAGAGCTACACCTGCTCCTCGCATCTGGTCCGGCACCAACTCATCCACACAGGAGAGAAGCCACATCAGTGCTTGGAGTGTGGTAAGAGCTTCGCTCGCTCCTCCAGCCTGGCTCAGCACCACCTTATCCACACAGGGGAGAAGCCATATCAGTGCTTGGAGTGTGGGAAGAGCTTCACTCGTTCCTCCAGCCTGGCTCAGCATCATCATATCCACACAGCAGAGAAGCCACATCAGTGTTCAGAGTGTGGGAAGAGCTACACCTGCTCCTCGCATCTGGTCCGGCACCAACTCATCCACACAGGAGAGAAGCCACATCAGTGCTTGGAGTGTGGTAAGAGCTTCGCTCGCTCCTCCAGCCTGGCTCAGCACCACCTTATCCACACAGGGGAGAAGCCATATCAGTGCTTGGAGTGTGGGAAGAGCTTCACTCGTTCCTCCAGCCTGGCTCAGCATCATCATATCCACACAGCAGAGAAGCCACATCAGTGTTCAGAGTGTGGGAAGAGCTACACCTGCTCCTCTCACCTGATCCGGCACCAGCTCATGCACACAGGAGAGAAGCCACATCAGTGCTCAGAGTGTGGGAAGAGCTTCACCCTATCCTCAGACCTGGCCCGGCACCAGCGTATCCACACAGGGGAGAAACCACATCAGTGCTCGGAGTGTGGGAAGAGCTTTACCCGATCTTCCCACCTTGTCCAGCATCAGCTCAGCCATACAGAAGAGAAGCCACATCAGTGCCCAGAGTGTGGGAAGAGCTTCGCTCACTCCTTCCACCTTGCTCAGCATCAACGTATCCACACAGGGGAGAAGCCATATCATTGCTCACAGTGTGGGAAGAGCTTCATCCGATCCTTCCACCTGGCCCGGCACCAGCTCATCCACACAGAGAAAAAAACACTTTAGTTGCTCAGAGTGTTGGGAAGTGCTTCCCTCACTCCAAACTGGCCCAGCACCAGTGCATGCATAACTGGGAGCATCCGTAACTCTTCCAGCAGTGCTGGAATGGTTTTGGGGAGTCTGTCTGCTCAGTGCCCACCAGTGTCTTCATCCAGGCAAGGAACTCATGCTGGTGGACTGCAGTAAGGGTTTACGCATTGTTCATCCCTTCTAGGGCCCTGTAAAACCCAAAGAGCACAGAGGCTGGCCTCCAAGGTTTGATGAGGGGGAGGGGTTAAAAGGAAATGTCTCATGCAGAGGCCAGCCCAGATGCTCAAGGAACTTGTGAGAAGATGGTCTTTAAATCAGCCCTGGAGCTGTGCCATCCCCATATTCTCTAAAAGCAGGCAGTGCTCCCAGGGGGAGAAGTGCCTTCACAATAGGGTGCTCTCCCTTATGCAACTAACTCTAAATGACACCCAGGGACTTTCTTTGGCAGACTCCCAGCTTTGTCCTCTGTCCTGGTCCCAGAGTACCAGTATGTGAGACTCTTGAATTGCAGGAAGGAGGACGCTTATTGCTGGGGAGGTATTCCCTGTCTTAGACATCCCTGTCCCCCAGTGAAACTAGTTTAAAGCTCTATGTAGGAGATCTGCCAACCTGTAAGAAAACATCCCAGCAAGACCCTATCCTGGAAGTACATATCATGGTCTAGGAAGCTGAGCCCCACACGGTGGCACCAACTACGAAGCTGTGAGTTGACCTCACCATTGCAGTTGCTGAGGTGCTGGCCACAACCGCTGACCGAGAGGAGAGGTTAGAAGACAACTTGTGCCCCCAACCTCTAAGCCTGGCTCCCAGAGCCATGTAGTCAATCATGACCCAACCCAGACTATTCTGGGCCCCATCATTCGTTCCCACATGGATGAGGACCACAGGATAGTAGTCGGTGGGCCTGATTAGGTCTGGAAGCCTCACTGTGACATCCTGAATCCGAGTTCTGGGCCAGCAGCATACCTCCCGTACTGTGGGATCCGGGTGGCAGATGGCTCCCTCAGTTCCTCTCAGGAGGGAGTCACCCATCAGGATGACCCAACGTCGTCTCCTCTGGCTGCCCGGTTGTTCCTCAGCCTGTCTGGTGGTAACTGTGGACATGGTCTCCATTGCTGCACTCTCTTCCGGTGATGCCGGGGCCTCATCCCTGTTCCCCAGCTGCACAGGGGGAGTCGCTTCAGCAGTGTGCCATCTAGTTCTGGAGGTGACTGCCTTTCATCTTTCTGCATCAGGTCCCTCGGGTGATGCCATCCCACTACATGTGCGGTCCTGCAGAGTGGAAGTACCCGTCAATCTCTTCCTCAACCGCCCTGATCCCCTGCAGCCTGATAACCTCTGCCTGGAGTTCCCTAACCTGCCTCTCCAGGGTCTCAAGTTGGGCACACATGGGACAGGTGAGGGGACTTCTGCTTTGTCCACCACCCCCGGGCCTCAGAGCCCTCGCCAGGCAACCCCCACAGACAGGTGGCCAGGGTGCTGCCAACCCATCCAAAGGCCCTGTCTGGGTGCAAGGAGGGTAGTAAAGCACAGGAACAGGCTACTGAGAGAGGTGGTAGATTGTCTTTTCTTGGAAGCTTTTTTTAAGTTCCACCTTGACAAAGCCTTGGCTGGGATGATGAAATTGGGGCTGGTCCTGGTTTAAGCAGGGAGCTGGACTAGATGTGACCTCCTAAGGTCCCTTCCAGCCATCATGTTCTCTGGGTCTGTGAATGCAAATGGCCATCTAGATACAGATGATGCAGGTTCTGACCCAATAGCAAGGGGACAGGCTGTGGAAGATGCCCAGCATGGGCAGTTGGGGCAGGGACCCAGACAGCTGGAGATAGAGCTTCAGTCTACGGAAGGGAGTAGGTGACACAGGGCCCGGCAGGGCCAAGCCTGAACTTGCTGCTCCAGTAGGGTCTTTACCCTATTCCCACCCTCACCTTGGCCTGTGAGGTCTAGAAGGACCTGGGGAAGGGCTGGATGGGCAGGTGGGAGATCAACAGATGGGCCAGTGGGTACTTCAGGACATCTTTCTGACCCTAGCTGATCTTGATCCAGTGGCCCTGCTCCCAGTTCACTATGCTGCACACTCAGCTGGGATCCCTGTCACAGCAGATCAGGCTCATGATCTCTCCAGCATCCAGTGAGTGCTTGGGGGGTGGGGAAGGGGAGTATGAAGCAGTACTGTTCCAAATGTGCAGGGCCCTAATCTCATCCCAGAGCATCTTCCTTGCTCTAACCCACTAGCTGCCCCTCCCCTACTTGTGCTGGGCTGGAACCCAGATATCTGGGCTTTCATCCCCTACCTGACTTGGGGGACATGGCATTGAAGACATCATCGTCCAGGTCCTTGAACCAATTCTCTGCATAGCTGATTGTCTTGGGGGAGACGTCCATGGCGGGGAAGAGGACAGCCTTGTAGTTGAAGTACTGAGCTGACATTGCACCCTGGGACACACAGACAGGTTGGGTGGTCATGTTGGGACTGTGCTTATCCCTAACACAGCAGAGGTGGCAGGAAGTGTGGGGATGGGGTCACTAGAGGGTGCCACATTGCAGACAGCAGGGAGTTCCTGGCCCTGCAGCAGGTCCCTCCATGGTGGTCCCAGCTGTGGAGTGTAACCCCATTCCTACTGGGTGCTTCACCCCATGGAGTGAGCCAGGAGCTGGGACCAAAAGCTGGGCACCCCCTGCATGGCCCAGCCACTCCCCACCTCCCTTTGCTCCATGGTCAAAGCAAAGTCCTGGCGGGGGAGAGGCTGGCAGGGATCAGAAGAGGAGCTGCAGCTCATGGGCAAGGCTTGAGTGCATGACAGTAGGGGGCTCCTGTGACTCCCAGAGACCATCCCCCAAAGGGAGCAGAGGAGCCAGTACAGGGTTGATTCTGGCCAGGCTGAGCTGAGCCAGAAAAGGGTGCATGGGAAGTGCATCTGCTACTCAGTGACTGCAAAGCAGCCAGGGCCACAATCCAGAGCAAGCACAGGTCCACAGGAGAGCTCTGACTTATGGGACTGGTATCCCACCCCAGCCACAGTGCTGCCCTGGGATTCCCTTTGTAGATGACAAGGAAGATTAATGTCTCATTTGCTAACTGCATCCAAGGGAGACATGCATACGTACATTGGAGCAACATCGCCCAAACTTCCCTAAGTCCAACTCAACTCAGATGCAGCCAGGCAGTTATGTGCCTGGGAATGGGGGAGGGGGAAGATTGCAGGTAGGTGGGAAATCTTCGAGAAATGGGGCTGGAAAGGGACCTTCATAGTCCAGCCACTTCTTGAATATGATCTCATCAGAATAACATAGACCTGGTGCGATGCCATCCATGACTGGGCTGTATCCATAGAGGGCTACCAGCTACACAGAAGGGATCAGGTAGGGAAGAAGGGAGGAGATGTAGCTCTCTCTATGTAAAGGAGTGGTATGCCTCCTTGGAGACCCAAATTGGCTTGACAGAAGGGCAACTCAAGAACCTGTGGGTCAAGATATGGGGGGGGGGGATGAGGAGAAGGGAACTTGATGGTAGGCATCTGATACAGACTGCCACACCAGGAAGAGGACCTGGATCTGGAACGTTCAGAGAACTGATGAAGGCTGGACATTCAAGGGACATAGTTAGCATGGGTGACCTGAGTTTTCCTGACATCTGCTGGGAGGAGTGCTCAGCCAGATCTGCCTGGTCACAGGTTTTTGACCTGCAGGGAAGAACTTTAGTACAGAAGGTGAATGGGCCAACCAGGGGGACGGCTTTGTTAGATTTGATTCTAGCCAAAGGAGATGACCTGGTGACAGATCTGAGGATTGAGGGTAATCTGGGAGAGAGCGATCATGAGATGACAGAATTCACTATCCATCATAGGGCGGGGAAGCCAGCCAGTAGGGCAGAGGTGCTTGACTTCAGGAAGGCCGTCTTCAGTGAGCTTAGGAAAATAGTGGGAGAGACCCTATGGGAAGAGGGACTGGAGAGGAAGGGAGTACAGGAAGGGCGGTTGTTCCTCAAAGGAACGATCCTCAGAGCTCAGAAAAGGTCTGTTCCTGAATCCAGGAAAGGTGGTAAAGGGGCTGAGAAGCCCTCTTGGCTTACCAGAGTAGTCATGGATGATCTTTTGAGGTTTCTTCCAGTCCTTCATTTCTATGATTTGAGGTGATGTTGGATTTCTTTGTTGATATCAGCCTTCTGTGAGAGATTGCTTTCGAGGCATGGGAAATATTTAATGTTCTTCAGAGTCTCACTGTAAATCTGAATTAACAGAGCTGAGGTCTGTTCACTAAGAGCCTTGCCACATGCAGGAGCAACTTTCACGCTTGTGCCATGATCTACTCTTTGGGCCAAACAGTGATAGGCTGAAATGGCCCTGTCTCTGTCTCCAGCTCTCAATCTGTGTTCTGATTGGCTGGTATCCCTCCTAGCCTGCAACAAGCCCCCCCCAAATACTGATTGGCTTCTGGGGTCTTACAGCCTCTTTCTTGGTTTGTGTGCTGGTTGGTCCATTTGTGATGTGTTGTGTCAATCAGCTGGTGGAGTGAGGTGAGCCCAAGGGGCACAGTCAGTTCAGCTGCTGAGAGCAGGGAGGAGTGACACAGGGAGACCAAACAGATCATTTGGGATGGGGTTTTGGTTCTGGAGCATGGAGACGTGCCTGGTATTCACAGCCTTTTCCCCATCTTCTCACTGCTGCTGCTACTGAGAGTGAGTGGTTTTGCGGGGGCTGTGCTCCCAGCTGTGGGGCCATTTCCTGCCGAGTGAGGGTGCAGTAGTGCGCACTGCCTACAGTAGTGGCTCAGTGAGGGTTGGAGGTCTGTGGGCTACAGTGCTCAGGAAGATTAGCCCTGGTTCAAAGAGACCAGGACTGTCTGTCACCGTTTAGTTCAAAGAGACATGGGACCCTGGCAGGGAATGTGTGCAGTGGGTACCAGCACACAGGAGATCTGCATCCGCCTCAGCACCTAGCCGGAGTTGCCTCTTCAGCTCACCAGGTAGAGGTCTGTGTTTTTGCTTACTTGTTCAGCTCTGAAAAGTTGTGGCCTCAATCCCTGATTTTATCTGTAGGGTGCTTGGCTTCTATCTGAGGGGGTCTCTGTTCTGTAAGCACTGGCCCAGTTATCAGCTCTTGGCAGCACTGGGATCTCGTGGGCTGGGAGTGGGCAGTGGTTTTTGAGGGCTCTGGGAGTGGATGCAGCAGCATTACAAGAACAGGGGAGGGGCCAGTCTCCTGAGAGCGTGAGCAAGATGGAGGGAAGCCTCCAGTCCATCTTTAGTACAACAGAGTGCAGACAGATGCCAAGGAGTTGCTCAGAGTTGCTGAGAAATTTATCCACACCCATGGTGTATACCTAGTGCTTCCCAGAAACCAAACTAGAGGAGGTGCTGCAGCTTGAGAGAGTCTGCTGCAATACAGTACTCGCCCCCCAGGAGAAAAAGTCAGCCACCACCTGAGCGAGTGCCATAGCTGATCAGCATCAGTAGTTAATCAACGAAGGGAGTATTAGCCCCTGCCCCCAAAATGGCTGCTCACAGCAGTACTGGAGCCAGTGCTATACCTAGACTCCTGGCAGCCCTGGGCAAACTTTTAGTATCGGGCCTCCCCTTCACCAGAGATAATGATTTTTTTGTTGCAGAAGTCTTTAAAGACATTGATACCACAGATATGATAAATAGTTTGTTCTTAATTGATAACATTGCTAGTCCCGTATATGCGCAATATTAAAACTTTTTTGCAATTCAATTTTATTTTTTCCTTTTCAAGCCCCCCTTTCTGGATTCCTACTGGGTATCAGCCCTTTTCTGGGCTGTGGGGGATGGAGGCACTCCCTCTATCAGTTCTGCTAACCGCGGCTTAGCACACTGGCGATGCGTAGGGGGTGCACGCAGGTACATGTGCACCCCCTGAGCGTGGCAGTGCATCCCCTGCAAACAGACACCACCAACACTGCTAGAGGCATCTGCGGGCAGTCGCCACTCGCCACCCCCCGGCGCTGTCACTGCCAGTGACATCTGGGCAGTCCCCAGTCGCCACTGGCCACCACTGCCAGTGGCATCTGTGGGTGGTCACTGACTGCTGGTAGGCACTCACCACCCCCCGCCCTGCCCTCTGCTAGCCACAGTGCTGCAGCTGCCTGCGGGAGCTCACCAGTCCCTGCTGCCACACTCCCGCTGCTGACAGTGCCGCTGCCACCTGCGGGAGCTTGCCGTGCCCCACCCCAGCTTCTGGGGACATGCAGTGTTCATGGCTTAGCAGAATCTCTGCTGCTGCACAGGACCCATGTGAGAGCTGACAGTAGCAGGGCTGGGTCCAGTGGGGCAACGGAGTGGGCCTGCCCCTCCCCTTGAGTCCTGCCCTACTTGGCAGCTCAACTGAGGGGGCTCAACATGCCCAGCACTGTTGGATGAGGCTGCAAGGTGAGGAGGGAGGCGGTGATAGAGAACCAGGTAGTAGAGACATGTGAAAAGTCAGGGTCACCCTCCAGCTCTTGCAGGGCCCATGCTTCCCCTGTGCTGGGTGAGAAGGGATGTGAGTCTGCCAGTCTGGAGAGGAGTTTTCCAATCATAGGGCTAGGCATGGGCTGGACATATCTTGAGCCCAGGACAGAGGTGGGCACATGCTGTAGTGACTGCAGTGTGTACTGCTCCAGAGGACAGGGGAGGGGGGGCAGGGGACCTCTAGCTAGTATGGGCTGTGGCAGTGTGCAGCTGTGTATCTAACAGGTATAAGCAGTGTGACAATGTAGGGGAGTTATCATCAGGGGGGAGGCATGTTCTCTGCAATGGGCAGGTAAATGAACACAGCACTAAAGCTCCTACAGAGATTCATAGATGCTAGGGTCAGAAGGGACCTCAATGGATCATCATGTCTGACCCCCCTGCCTATAGCAGGAAGAAGTGCTGGGGTCATGTGAACCCAGCCAGGTGCTTGTCCAGTCTCAAAGACCCCCAAGCTAGGGGAGAGCACCACCTCCCTTGGAAGCCCGTTCCAGATTCTGGCAACCCTTACTATGAAGAAGTTCTTTTTGATGTCCAACCTAAATCTACTCTATCAACTTGTGGCTGTTGTTCCTGGTTATTCCAAGGGATGCACTGGTAAACAGAAGCATCTCCTATTCCCTGCTGCCCCTCCCACCCATGAATTTGTATACTGCCAGAAGAATCCCCCTTAGGCTTTTCTTGTGGAAGCTGAAAAGGTCCAGGTCCCTCAGCCTTTCCTCATAGGGCCTTCCCTGAAGGCCTCTAACCATGAGTGGCCCTCCTCTGGACCCTCTCAAGTTTGTCCACGTCCCTCTTGAATTGCAGTGCCCAGAATTGGACACAGTGCTCCAGCTGTGGCCTGACCAGTGCCACACAGAGGGGAAGCCTCCTCTGCTCCCTGTGTCCCCGCTCACTCGTTCTTGGAGCTGGCTTTTATTTGCGCCGGGCGGTCTCTCTCTCTGACATCGGCCACCCGTGCCGGCTCCAGCTGCAGATAAGCGCAGGTCCTTCTGGCCCTCAGCGTCCTAAAACGGGTATTTCTCTTTTCTGGGGTTTTTCCTTTGGGGTTGGGTTCCCCCTGTCCTGGGTTCCCCCGTGGGCAGGGTTCCTTGCTCCCCCATGCTTGTACCCCCGGGACAGATGGCTGGGGAATTGGCTCTGAGGCCAGATTCAAAGAGTGGTGGTTGACGGAAGTGAATCATCATGGCACTCCGCTACCAGTGGTGTCCCCCAAGGCTCCGTCCTTGGACCTGTTCTCTTCAAAGTCTTTATCAATGATGTGGATACTGGTCTCAGAAGTGGACTGGCCAAGTTTGCTAATGACAACAAACTTTGGGATAGAGCATCCATACCTGAGGATAGGCTGGTGATCCAGGCTGACTTGGATAGGCTCAAAAAGTGGGCAGATACAAACCTGGTGACATTCAATACCAACAAATGTATGGTACTCCATCTTGGGGGGGAAAAAAACCCCACAGCGTGCCTATAGGCTTGGCAATGCTATGCTGTCTGGCACCATGGCTGAAAGAGACTTGGGGGTCATGAGTGACCACAAGATGAACATGAGCCACCAATGTGATGTCACAGCTGGTAAATCAAACCAAACTCTGGCTTGCATCCATAGATGCTTCTCAAGAAAATCTCAGGATGTCATCCTCCCACTGTACTCGGCCTTGGTGAGGCTGCAGCTGGAGTACTGCATCCAATTCTGGGCTCCACAATTCAAGAAGGATGTGGAGAAGTTTGAGAGTCCAGAGGAGAGCCACACACATGATCAGAGGACAAGGGAATAGGCCTTATAAAGACAGGCTGAGAGCCATGGGACTCTTCAGCCTGGAAAAGCATAGGCTCAGGGGTGACCTGGTGGCAGCCTATAAATACATCAGGGGTGTGCATCAGGATCTGGGGGAACACCTGTTCACCAGAGCACCCCAAGGGATTACGAGGTCCGATGGTCACAAACTTGGCTCCGAGACCGTTTTAGGCTGGACATAAGGACAAACTTCTCTACTGTCCGAGCCCCCAAGGCCTGGAATAGACTCCCTCCAGAGGTGGTGCATGCATTTACTCTGGACTCCTTTTAAAAAGCGTTTGGATGCTTATTTTGCTGAGATCCTTTGACCCTAGGTGACTGCCTGCCCTTGGGGCAAGGGGCTGGACTCAGTGATCTCTTGAGGTCCCTTCCAGCCCTAATGTCTATGAAATCTATGAAAAATATATATTTTTTAAATCAAATTAATGAATGTTTTAGATGTTCACTTTTTAGAATATAATTTGCTATTTTTCTGGTTCTTAGATGGCAAAACCCCTTCCTGAAAGGAGTACTTCCAGGGGCAAGGGGAGGGACGTCTGGTGGCAAAGGTCAGGGGTTAGGGGGCAGGACTTCCAGTCACAAGATGGTGACCAGGGGCGGGGCACCTGTCAAGGGGCGGGGCTACTCATGTGGTCCTTGACAGCTTACCAAAACTGGTCCTCCGCCCAAAATAATTGCCCACCCCTGTTCAAGAACCATATGTGGCCCTACCAATGGTGTGGTAAAAATACATTATGACCTGGGCCTCACTTGAGTAATAACTGTATGAGTCCCTCATGATCCCTTGTGTAAGAAGCACGAGGCCTAACGACTGAGTTGTGGGTTTCTTTTTCCTTCCTGCTTGCTCTGCATTTTGTAACCATACTTGCCTAATGCCCTGAAGTTACACTAAGGTATAAGGTTACTAAAAGACATTAACTTTGCCGCAGTTCCCCTTTTCCTCTGCGCATGCGACAGAACTTTTTGCCGCAGTTCTGCTTTTGAAATACGCATGCACTAAACTTGACAGGGGATACTAACCAATAGCAAACTAAGCCTAGCCCATAAGATAAGATGTAACAACAAGGAAATTGTGGTACTGCCAATAGTTGTATGACACGCTGTAGCCCTTTGTTTATGTAAGCTATAAAAGTGTAACCTCGAGAGAAATTGGGGGTCGACACAGCTTTGAGCATCAGCTCCTCTGTCGACATTGCTTGCGCAATCAATAAACTCATGACGGACCCACCCTGTGTGCGACTCTCTCCTTGAGGTGGAATTGGTCTAGCCTCCAGGGGCACGAAACTAGCCGTTTGGGCAACACAGCCGCTGAAGGCTGCTAAAGCTCCACATCCACGGGATGGATACAAAGGTTTCATGGGTCAAGCCTGGCCCATGGGCCACAGGTTGCTGATACCAGGTCCAAACTACTGGACTGCTTTGGAGTCAACTGGTGGGTATAACTGCTGCCCTGGAGATACCTATAAGAGACCATTAGGCTCCTTTCTGAACCTGGATATTGAAACAGTATTTGACAGAAAAATACTTTGGGGCTGAGAACTGACTGGAAGAAGTTTTGAACTGTGAGCAAAGAACAAACTAGGACAAACAGGACAAACTAGGGCAACTGGTGACAGAAAGGGGGGACAACGCTGAGGTCTTCAATGAGTTATTTGCATCTGTATTCCTAGACACAGACCAAGACAGATCTCCCAATTGGGTCAGAGGAGGGACACCAGCCCACCAACTGTTAGCGCAGACTTAGTGAAGGGGTGCTTGGAGGGGCTGGATGTGTTCAAATCAGCGGGTCCGGATGATCTTCATCCAAGGGTGCTGAAGGAATGGGCCAGTGCCCTAGCACAGTGTTTCTCAACCTTTTAAGTAGCAAGTACCCCCTAACTTCTGAAAATTTTAACAAGTACCCCAACACTCAATTTTCCAGGGGATTTTATATTTACAGACTAATGTGTGCCAGTTACTTTCA